CCGGGAAGCATGTTGGCATAGAAATCCTTAGTGCTAAAGTTATTGGCGGAAAATGTATTGGAAAGAAAGTCTCGATCGTTTCAGCGTTATCTCCTTGAAGCTGACCAAAGTATCAAAGCAAATGTATTTAGGATCTCCTGAAGCGTGTATGTTATTGAGTTGTAGCCCCATTTCGCGTACAATCCCATCAAGTACACTTCGTGATGATTTTGGAAACCAGGCAGATTAGGAAGCTGAAACTTTGCAAGAATATTCATTGTTCGAGCGCGTCCCAAAAACTTAAAAAATTCAGCTATCACATCTCAAGGTACTATGGTTATCGCGCCAACAAAACCGCACGAGCTCATCAACGAAATTTGTGAAAGAAATCGATCTCAGGAGTCAGTCAAGCTATGAAGCTAAAATTTTCTGAAAGAAAAATTATCTTTTTTCTCGAAAAATTTCTGGCATTCATGAAAAAAAAATTTAATAGTAAATTTCTGATGCGAGAAGACAATTTGTATCCCACAATCAAAATTTTTTATCCTACATTTCCAAGAAAAAAAAAAGGCAGTTGTTGAGTAATTTGGTAGCACAGAGAATGTCTTGTAATCATGTTCGTTTATGTTTTCAAAGTATGATGTCAGTCGTTTCGTCATTTTATCATGTTTGATCAAGTATTTAATCAGACCCGAACCGATCATCATCTTATTAATTCCCATCATTTTCGATAATGTTTCCCTTAATTTCTTTTTTTTACTGATTTTGATGATGACCCTCATTGTTATCGGAATGTTCTGTTCATTTATTACAAGTCGTTTGCGCCAATTCTTCATTTTTTTGTATCAGTTTATTTTGCATTTATGTAACAATAGGTTATTTTCTTGATTTTTGATGCTCTGAGTGCATCCTGACTAGATTCCCCTGCAAAATAGCACTGCCATCCATAAAATATAGATGAGTGGAGGAGCAATAATTCCCGGAGGCGTTCGCTCTTTTCGGCATTCTTTGCTTTTCCGCTCTTTCAGCTCGCCTCTAATTCTACATTCGGTATCGGTTGATAAGTGCGCCGGACTTTATTCTTACCATTACTGGCTTATCTTGGCTTTTTAGGAAAACGATCCACCCAGCTGTTGACGGGCTTTGGTTATTTCAGATCTCTTGACCACAAAAACTTCATTGAAAGCATCTGGTGGATAAAATTTGGATCCTCCCTCTTAGTTTTGTTGACTCTTGCAGCAGAGAAGAGGAAGTCAAACTTTACCATTAAATTTAGCAGCTGTGAATCACCCTTTAGCGCAAATTTGTTTTTTTTTTTTAACTCGCGTTGATGAGGACACCACATCACGCCGGTTATTTTCCCCATGCGTGACATTTTCCCACATTCTCTTCCTCCCCTTGAATGTCCTTGCAGTGAAAGTCTGTGCTGCTGAAATCAACTCCGTTTTGATAAAATTTTACACTGTGCTGATTTTTACGACCCACTTCGAAAGTTTTACATCTTTTGACTCTACTTTTGTCTTTTTTTTTGGAAAATTACGAATCCCTTTTAACTTAGAGCAGCAGTTCCCCTTCCCTTCCCCCTAATATCCCTTTTCTCGCGCTTCCTTCATGTTCTCTTCCAAAACTGCACATAATTATGAACTTTATGCATTATTCATTTACCATGTGCCGATATCGTGCGCTTTTTTAGTACCATCTCCCGTCAAACCATTGAAAAATTTCCATTTTGCAGGGTCACGTTTGATGTGCTGAGCAACACGAACCACGGATTGCTGCAGCAAAAGTGGTGGTTGTACCGAATATGACCTGCACTGCGGCAATGACATTTCCGAGCATTTTTGCGTAGAGGTGTGGTGCGACCGAAAAATTTCGATATAGCTATGCCGCGGGATCACTACGGGAGATTTGGTGGCAATGCAAATGCCTATGT